GTAAATACATTGCTCACCCTCTTTGAATGAGACTGAGCTCACCGCTAAATATCCCTTGCTCTCCACATGCTGGTGGCAGCTACGTGCTCACTGGGAACAAGTGAGTTTGAGAAAGCTAATGGTAAAATGATGTAAGTCAGCACAGTGTAAGCCAGAAGGCATCTGTCTGTGGAAAGATGACAGCTCACACTGGATACAGTGGGGAACAGTGCTGAGCTGATCACTGTGCGCTCACCAGCACATTCAGGACTGGAGGCAAACAAGCACTGTCATTGTTTTAAGGACATGATGTCCCACACAATGAAGCCTCTGCTACCACAGCTGTCACTTAGGATTTTAATTCATCTTTTCACATTTCAACAGTCCAGTAAACCCAAAGAGCAAGGGCACTTCACAGACCTATTTCAGGCTATCTAAAGGGTGATGCCTTTTCCTGCGGTTTTCCATGGCACAGAGGTACCTAAATTATATCACAAAGAGCAGTGGCAGGGATCAGAAGTTGTCAATAGCACTAGTTAGTCTATCCAGCTTCTCAGTGCCTCTCCTGCTTGCTCACAGACCTTGGTGCTGTGGGCAGCCCCAACTCACTGTCACACTGTCACACCCCACCTTACCCTGCAGGTGGGGAGATCAGCCAGACCCACGTACCAGGGCTGGTTGTCTGAATGCCACTACAGCTGTGACATTAATTTACTCTAAACCAGGCAGCCAGGAGAACCAAACTGAGCACATAAAGACAAATTTGCAGCACATACAAATGGAAGAGTTAATTCTCAGATGCAAAGAGCTACAAACTCCAGACACTACGGACTGCAAATACCATTGAGGCACAGCAGATGCATGCAAGGTCCTTCTCAAAAAGGAGTGCTGGTAGGAAGGGCTAAATAATCTGCAGAGTCTCACCTGGCCATGGCCAGGTAACATGAGAGAGCAAGTGTCATCAATTAGACCTTGCATGCTCATTCCTCACCTCAGATGTCCTCAGCACAATTCTTCACTCACACTGCAAAGGAGAGGTACTCTAGTTGTTTACAGAATGTTTACAGTTGTTTACAAAGCCTCAGCACAGCCTGCCTTGGGATTACAATTCTGTCTCAATCTTTAACAATTTTACAGCTCACATCAGCCTTTTAATACCATGAAGAAGTTTTAGCTTGTTTCTGAAGATCACACCTCATACGAAGTTGGAGCAGAGCACAATTAGACACTTTTGCCATACACTGTTTTCTCTAAGCATATGGAGATAAGCCTTTACCTCAGTGAAATTCCTGCAGAACAAGTTAAGTGGCTGTGCTACATATTTAACCTTTCCTTCCCCTTTCACCCACTGATGCAAGTTTACACTTGAACCAGATCTTGTTAGCCTGAGACATGCTTTTACTGCTAGCCAGAATTATTTAGCTGTGTTCCCCCAGAATAAGCCTTCTTCAGATCAGGTGATGTGCTTCTCAAGTCTAGAGTTATACCACAAGAAAGAAACCAAAGAAAATTTTCACAGTTGCTTTCTGACCTGCAAGGAATCCTTCTCCACCAGCTGCAGGGACATAACGAACACCAAAGAATGCTTTCCATGGGTACTACCACACCCCCAAGCCACCTAACAGCCTGGTTCTACCTTAAGGCAAGGTCCACCTTTAAAACAAATCAACTCTTGCCCTGCACATTTTCCCCCCACATGTTGCTGGTTTTCTCCAATCAAATGTCTTTTTCAGAAGGTCAATAGAGATTACAGAGAGGTGCAGTTATGAGTACACAGAACTGTACTTTGAAACCTTGCTCAGCCTGCCACAGAGCGGTACCATCTCCTTAAACTGCCCACAATTAAAACTCAAGTTTGCTAATTGATACAGGTTTGTGCTTATAAAAGCACAAAGTAAACGTTACTTTGGACTCCATGAAATTCTTGGCATTCTACATGTTAAAGATGATTAGGCAGGACTTGATCATATCTGATTTGGCTATTTATTGTGTTCTGTTGTTTTTATTGTCAGGGTGGATTGTTTTGTTGGGTTGTTTTTGTTGTTTAGTTGGGGTTTTCTTTGGTTTTGGGGGGTTTCTTTGTTGTTGTTTTTGTGTGTGTGTGTGTTTGGGGGATTTCTGGGGGGGTTGGTTTTTTTTTTTTGTTTTTTTTTTTTTTTTTTTAAATTGGCACACCAAAAGGTTATATCAGAGCACTGATAGGAGCAATAAGGAATTCATCAGACCAAACATGATAAGAAAAAATTCTCTGGAAGTAGGATGAGTAGGACAAACACTGCTTCAAATACAGGCCCATTTAAGTCTAAACAATAAAGTTGCTTCAAAAGCCAAGTTTGACAGCCCCAGAAAAACACACACAGCACTTTCAGATAAGGTTCTCTTACTAACTTCATGTTTTGTTGCTACCAAGGTTCTGTGAAGAAAAGCATGTTGTGCCATATATTTTATCAAAGCCCCATATATTTTATCAGAGAAGGAGCTCTTCCTTCTCTGCCAGGTAGATGACAGCTCCTGCCCTCAGCACTGCTGGCAGGAGGAGATGCTACCCCAGGCATGTCAAAGCTCTGAGGCTTTTGCCCCAGCAAAGACATCTCCCCACTACTTCCCGTTGCCTCAGCTTGGAGGAAGTGCTTGGCTTTGTCTGGTTTCACTTGATGGCATATGATAGCCCCAGTTAGAGCAGAAATGAAGCCAATGAGGAAACTCAGATTGTGAAGTCACCGTTAGCACAGTTACAGCCGTTACAGCCACGGCGGGAGCTCTACTTGCACAAAAACAGTTCTTTATGAGCAGGGCCACCTTCAACGCTGCCTCCAGAAGAGTTGGGGCATCCAGTGCCACCAACAGAGGCCAGGAGACCCATCCCAAAGCACAGTTCAGCAAAGGGCAGTATGACCAAGCTCTCACCCCCTAAGTTTGAGGTGCAGTGCTGTAGGCTGATCTCATCAGCATTACACAAGCAGTATCCCGCACTTGGCAAACTCAGTGAGGCTGGTGACTTGTAGCTCACTTCACCTCAGCTGGGCTGTGTTCAAAGCCTGCAATGTTTGTCAAGTTTGGCTGGAGAGCACTGGCTCCCAGAAGGAGCAGAAGGCAGGACTGGCCCAAGCACAGCATGTCACCAAAGCCCCGTAAGCAGAAGGAAGAGTACTGCTGTGGGAAGAGGCAAGAACAGGGACTCACAGACAAACGTGGTGCTAGAGGAAGAACTCAAGCCCAGAGAAGAAGGGAGGCTGGAACAGGAAAGAAAGTGAGGGACTAAAACAAGGACAAGCAACAGCAGCAACAAGCTTAGCCCAGTAATTGTGCTAGGACATGGCAAGGAGGAGTCACGCAGATTAAATATGTGGTTTGACAGAAGCTGTCTTCTCCAAGCAGTCCCTGTCCTATTTGTCTGCAGTTCAGCTGGGAAGTTTCAACATGCCCTCAAGCCAGTAACCCATCACACAGGATAATCAGGACAGCTAGAGCCACTCTGACATAAATGCCTCAGCAGAAAGCTTAAGGACAGCACAGGAAAAGGAGGGAGCTCCTCTTGGAGCAGACCCTGCAGAGAGCACATGGCTTATTTCAAGAGGCAGCTCCTGGCAAGGTTAAGATGCTTTAAGTCTCCCAGCAGCCAGGATGGAGGAGAGGGCAGGAGCACATAGCCCTTCCCCTCAAGAACAGGTTCAGCAGTGACCTACCCAAGCCAGCAGTGCCAAGGGAGCTCCTCCAAGAGCTGCAGGATTAGGCAGGCACACAGTGAAGAGGGCTCAAGGCAGGGATGCTCCCGTCAGTTCAGCAGGAGGAACTCGCCCAGCAATAGCCAGATCTCAATAGCATTTGTCAGGTGATGATTTGATTACATAAGAAAGCTCTGCCTCAGAAAGGCCTGTCCAGACTGTATGTTTTGAATTCTTAAAGCAGAGTACCAACAGTCCTACAGTTCATTAAGACTGCACACAGTATAAATCCAGAGGCAGCTACTGTTTCCTTGTCTCACCAGAACACTTGCCTTCATAGTTAACAGACAGAAATCATCTCCACCCCTTCTAAGAGGTGTCCTTCAAGGATATAACTATTTTTTTAACCACTCAAAGTTTGAAGACGCACCGTTTTCTTTTTTCACTGTTTTATTTCACTCCAGAAGACGTGGCTTTCCAAAACAGCACCACTTCACAGAATTCCAACATGCCCAGCAGGTGTGTGCGCATCTGTCCAACAGCTGGACAGAGCCACCAAAGCCACTCACCGTGCTCAGGCTGTCACCAGAAGGCATTTACACAGCCTTCAGCCTAGTGCTGCAGGTAACATTAGCTTAAACACAGTCAAATCTCATTCTTCATTTGAGAGACGGGCAGGTCAGGGAAAAAAAACAAAACACTTCTGGCAAGTAGGAGACTTTCTACAGCAAGAGAAGAGGGGCTCTGTCATCAGTGTCTCTAAACTGCAAAATAACCTTTAAAGGGGTTCAGCTTCTTCCACTGCAAGTGGAACTTTACCGCTGAAAAGTTACCTACAGAAGAGTCTCGTGCTCCATCTCTTTCTGAGCTGGTTAGTGGAGGCATAGGGAGAAATGGTGTCTGAGCATGGAAACCCAGCCTATTTCACGGCCCAAATCAACTCCACACACTTAACAGGCTTTAAAAACCTCAGCATCCACCACTGCTGGCGGATACCGGCTCAGGCCAGAAACCCAAACCAAGTGGAGACGTCGCCAGCCCCGCACACCTACAGCCCGGGCCCGGCCCGGCCAGAGCGCTCGGGGAGAGCCCGCTCGCCCTCAGCCCCAGCCCCCGCCGCAGCTTTCGCGAATGGTTACTCATTAATCAGAGGAAAACCAACAGCAGCCACAGCGCTCGGAACAGCACCGGCCAGAAACTCCCCCGGTGCGGGAGAGGCTGGGACATTCCCGGCTGTTACTGAGGAGCCGCGCTGGGATGTGCGGCGGGGGCCGAGCCCGGGCAGTGCCCCGTTCCCGCACCGCTCCCAGCGCGGGGACCCTTCTCTGCCCAAGCCCGCCCGCCCCGGGCGCTCACCGTGGTGGGACATGGGCAGCACCTCGTTGCCGGTGCCGCGGTAGTTGTAGATGACGGCGGCGGCGGCGCCGCGCTCCGCGGCCAGGCGGATCTTGTCGGCGAAGGAGCAGCCGCCGCCGCGCTGGATGAGGGCGAGCCAGCCCGGGGAGCCGCCGCCGGGCGGGGGGGCCCCGCTGAAGTTGGTGAGCGCGTTGCAGGCGTTGAAGGCGTCGGGGCTGTCGGGCAGCACCAGCAGCCCCTCGGCCGACTGCAGCGGCGAGTCCAGCCCGTACAGGCCGCTCTCGCCCGCCTCCCACCCGCTCCGGTTGCGGTCCGCGCCGCTCTCCCACGACACGTTCAGCCAGGCGGTCCAGGCCGCGGCCGCCGCCGCCCCGCGGGGACCGGGCGGCGGGACGGCACAAAGCAGCGCGGCCAGCGCCAGCAGCGCGGCCCCCGACGGCATCCCCGCACGGCCCGGCCCGGCCGCGCCGCCGCCTAAAGCCGCCGCCGCGGCTGCCGGGGGAGGAGCGGGGCCGCCCCCGCCGCGGCCCGCCCCCCGCACCGCACCGCCCGCCGCCGCGGCCCCGCAGGGAACCCCCGGCCCCGCCGCGACCCCCGCCGGAACGGAGACCCCCGAGCGCTGCGGCCCCGACGGTGGTGAGCGGGGTGCGCATCCAGGCGTCCCCCTCGCCGGATCCCCTCCCGGGGCAGTGCGTCACCAACACGTTTTTCCCGGGGGGTCGCGGAGGGTCACCCACCCGGGTCACCTCTGACAAGTGATGGTTCCTGCTGACATCGCCTCTCGGGGTGATGGCTGACCCCCCGCGTGCCTCTCGGGAAGGGGGACTCACCCCCTCCTTCACCACCCGGCACAGCAGTCTCCTCACCCAGCCCGCACCGGTGCCCACAGCCCACGGAGCACCGGGGGCTGGCTGTGGGGACCCCTGGAACGGGCGACCCCCTGACGCCCCACAGGCACAGAGGCACCAGCATGTGGTGCCCGGCCGAGAAACAGCCACTTCCCGCCGCCGAGTTCATGTTTGCTGAACATTCCACAGCGAGCCATGTCAGTCCTGCCGGGGAGCTGGCTTGTGGAGTACTGAGTTAGCACTGTTCACTCACCGGCCATTGGTGCCCCTGTCATTCAACAGATGTTATAAACCTGTCACTTCAGCCAACAACCCCTTTTTCTATTTATGTACTAGTTGTGTTTGCGTGGTTAATTATTATTTGATCTGTGGAGCTCGCAACTAGAAGTCCTGTTTCTCCAGGGCCTTGCAGTTATTTCTAGGGCAGCCAGTTTGCAGGCACCAGTCCCTTGCTCTGGCACATACACGTTTTTGCCAGGTTGTCCCACATCAGGCAGTGAGGTCAGAGTGCTGGCAGTCACTGCAACCATGAGCGTGACAGGCTGTAGAGTCCTGCCAGGGAATTTGAGGCAACAAAGGAAAATAATAGGAGAAAGAACAACATTTCAAGCTCCTCTTCTCCACAGAGCCACTCTTCTGACTGAGAGGCTCTGTTCCTATCAGCTGCTCTGCAGGAATTGCCCCCAGCCCCGGGAGCTGCTCAAACACATCCCCATGCACCCACGTGTCACTACGTGCGGGCTGGGACTTTGGGTGGGACCTCATCATTGAGAAAGGAATATTCCTGGGCAGTGATTGCATGGCACAAGATCAGCTGCTGCCTATGCAATTGCCAAAATTAGTGTAAACACAGAGTTCAACCCTTAGTTGAACTGCTTAGTTTTTCCACCAGGCTTTGGGATAAGTCTGAATCCATGTGGTTGATAACCAGGAACTTGCTGTCCACCTGCACTGCCCATTTCCCATCCCTTGCCCTGTGCTAAGAGCATCACACTGAGCGTTACACAGTCAAACCCAGCTCAGGTTTGAAGGCCTCCCTAGGGGTGGGGCTTCGGAAACAGCCCGCTCCACTTCAAAATCAACCCTGTCCACCAGCGTCCACCCCCTCCAGCACAGCAGCTACAGGTTTTGGAAGCTCAGTAGCCCAGGGCGATTGGTTTGGTTTTGCTACTGCAATAGCAGCGTGCAAAGCAGGTAATGAAGAGCAGATGAAGCAATTTGCTCAAGATCAATACTGCTAAATACACAAAGCTTACTAAGCGAACCTTTTTGTCCTAACCTAAACAAACCTCTCCTTTGCTCATTCCACATTTAAGTAGAAAACTTATTTCAAAAGTAACAGCTCTAGCTATAATCAGAAGTAAATCTATAAGCAGTCAGAGAGATGTGGTTTTGTTTTGAAACCTGTTCCATGTAGGGGCAGCGAAGAACTTAACAACCCCCTGAAAATATAACCAAGCTTTATGCAATCAACAGCAGCCAACCTGCTCAGCCTCAAATGCCTCCAAAGGGATGTTTAGCCCTGGTGTTTTCATGGAAGGGGCTTGGTCAGATGACTTGCTCCAGAGTAGGAAAACTAGGTGTGCACTAAAGTATCCCAAGTTTTTAAGCCATCTGAAAACAAAATTAAGATACGAAAATGTAACTTGTGACTGAGCGTAGGCACTATTCAGAATTAGAACAATGTAGAAAAAAAAAAGGCAAGATCTAGCTTGCAAAGCACATACCTATGCTGCAGACACTTGTAGGTTCATTTGTGTCCACTAACCTCGAAAAATAAACTGGTGTCTTCAAAGCAGACACCAAGGCTTTCTCTACATCACTCTCTAAAATAATTTGCAAGTGAAAAGCAGTACTAACTTCAGAGACTCAACCCTTTGGCTACACTGCACCATGCTCAGAACTTAACAGCAGGGTCTTTCTTACTAAGCACTCAAGTCAAGGCTCAAATTGCATAATACATTGTCTTCCCCATTGCATTTCTGGAGGAGAGCAACCATCACCCATAAACATCTCTGTTTCCTCAGAGCCCAGCTGTGCTGTCCTGAACCCAACTGCAGAGAAAGAAATGGCCACATTTCAGCTCTTCACATCCTTTTACTCACCAGGATGCAACATCACGAGGGGGTGGTTGCCTTTGCCCTGTGAATTGTAGATCACGGCTGCTGTTGCGCCCTTTCTGGTTGCCACCTGAATTTTTTCAGTAAAATTGCAACTGCCTCTTTCGATCAGTGCTATCCACGGCTCGCTTGTGATGGTGAACTCAGTATTTTTGTCACAGGCTTGATGATTCTCAGATGTTGGAATGCCCACAAGCCCCTGGGCGCTGAGTCGAGGAGAATTGAAGCCATACAGGCCACATTCGCAGCGCTCAAACACAGTTATGTTGCTGGTGCTGTTGAAATAGAACAAACCTACAGAGGCCATCACAGACATTGCCTCTGTAGTGTTAAATAAAATTAAAAAATCCAGCAGAAGACAGAAAAACCACAACTGCTCGACTTGCTTCATTGCTTCTTCCTAGCAGCAGTGAATGTAGATGTCCAGATGTCTTTTCAGCTGCTGGTGATCCCTGTTGGAGCACAGCCTGCTGCAGAGTTGCAGCGGGAACCTGACACCACCCAGGTGAGCTCTCCAAGTGTCAGGGAGCTCAGCGTACGCGTTGCCAGGTCCGGAACCCTGTGGACACGCCCAACGATTGCGGGGTAGCGGCGCAGGCGGAATGTCCTGCGGCCCAAACTTCCTGCTCCTTCTGCACAACACACATCACTCTCCCCCTCCTTCTCTCCCTTCACCCCACAAACTCTGCCTTCCGTGATGCTTCCCAAGACAGTGCTCAGGTGCCCCGCTCCTGTTGCAACTCGAGTGTCACTGCAGAGCAACAGGTCACCTTTCATGCAGTTACATAAGCTCAGGGTCCTCACTTCAGGATCAATCTGTGATGCAAATGGCCTTGTTACAAAGGTCAAAAGTGAGGGGGATGTATTAGAAATTATTAGAAAATTTACCCTTCTTACAGACAAAGATAACCAAGTCATTCCCTGCATTTCTCCCTTCGCATTCTTTCAGCCATCTACTCTGTTGGGTCCAGCTTGTTCTGGTGTTTATAATGGAATGATTGTGCTATTCTTTTATACTAATGCAAAAGATGTAGAATCATCTGAACTGAACACAGAAGCAAACTACCTCTGTCAGCCCATTTTCACATTCTAGCTTACTTTCAAGACGCACATTGAGGTGTTCAAATGATTATCACACAATTCTCCATTTCTGGCTGCAGGCTCTAGAGACTCTTTTTCTGAATTTAGTCAGGGTCATATTCCCCAACAATTACTGGTATCACCTCGTTTTCTTAGATTAGAACAGAAAAAATGAAAACCTTACCAATGTGGACTCTCCAGTCCACAATGAAAATAAAGGACAAGTTGTAAAGTTATCAAGACCTTTTTTTCGTGGTTTTCTGCAAATGTTATGCCACAAACACAGTGGTGAAAGCCAAGAGAAGCTGCAGTTGGTGGCACATATTGTGACAGAAGCTCGACCTAGTTCTCCAAGACAGAGGAGACCTAGTTCTCCTTGAAAAGAGGAAACATGACTCTGGAGAAGATTCCTGGAAAACTGAAACAGCTTTCAAGAAGTGAAACAAAAAATGCAAATAAACAGTCCAAAGTGTTTACATATATGAATTCATTTATTTATATTCTTCACTTTTCTGTGTTGCACTAGTTCTACATCCCATTAATTCCAAATTGATCTTACCTCTAAGAGCTATGACTTAGCAAGTTTTGTACACTTAGAAGTACCATTAGCTACATACAGTTTGCCTTCCCCTGTTTTTTTTTTTTTTTAAATTAGTGCTGGAAACATAAGAACCATCCCCAAGAATAGAAACATAATGCAAATGTAAGATTTTAGAGTACAGTGCTTTGGTCGGATATGAATTCTACAGGTAGGGAATGTGCTCCAATAGCATTTTACCCTCAGCTGTGGCAGTACACAGCAGCAAGAAAGGTGATTCCTGTGACGCTGTGCAGGAGTCAAGATTCAGTATCTTGGCTTACCATGGCAAAGTTAACATGCTTTGACAGACTCAGGATCAAAAATATTTTGGTTTTATACTTGTGTCAATAAACACCAAGTGAAATGAACCAGCCAGCAGGTTTCTTTGCGGAGAGGACCTTTGCTCCAGTGTGACAGTGGTGGTTTGGCAGGCAGGAGGGAGACAGGCAGAGTGGTGGAACCACATACTAACACTGCAGCACTTTAGCAACTGAAGTCACCATATTAAGTCCAGTTTAACTTAGGGGGGGTAGTGCCTCTATGGATTGATCCAGAGCAATAAAATTCCAAGTCTACTACAAGCACTGAATATTCTCCAGGTACACACTGCAAGAGTAAATATCTCTCGTTTCCAGCTCTTGCCATGAAAAATTTCAAACAATACTCACGTACAATAAAATTATATCCTCTAACGTCTTAAGTGGATGATCTGTATTCCACACCATTCCGATATTTCTTTCAGAGTTAGTAAGTCCTAACATGCAGGATGAAGTGATTAATGTTTAAAATGTTTAAAACTAAGCAGTGCAATACAGCAACAGCCTTTGCTGCA